GAGATGAGTCTAATGGGAAATTTAAGTTACTTTCTAGGCTTTAGCATTAAGTAAATTGAGGAGGGTACATTTCTTAGTCAGTCAAAATATGTTAAGGACGTCCTCAAAAAGTATGAAATGGACAATACTAAACATGTTAGTACACCTATGAGTTCCTCAATTCAGTTGGATAAGGACCATAAGAGAAAATCTATTGATCAAAAGAAATTTAGAGGGATAATTGGATCTTTGATTTACTTCACAGCCATCCGGCCCGATTCATATTCAGTGTTTATTTGTGTGCTAGATTTCAATTAGATCCAAAAGAATCACATTTGACAGCAGTAAAAAGGATTTTAAGATATCTGTTAGGAACCCAGAACTTAGGAATTTGGTATCCTAAGTTTAGCTCTTCATTTGAAATAATTGGTTATTCAGATTCTGACTTTGCAGGTTGTAGGATTGATAAAAAGAGCACTTATGGAATATATTAGTTTATTGGAAATTCTTTAATCTCTTGGTCCAGTAGAAAATAAAATTCAGTAGCCCTATCTACTGCTGAAGCTGAATTCAATGCATTAGGAAGTTGTGTGGCTCAAGTACTTTGGTTGAAACAATAGTTGATTGATTTAGGATTAACTATAGGCACTATTCCAATTTATTATGATAACACTAATGCTATTTGCATTTCTAAAAATCCTATTCAACATTCAAGAACCAAACATATAAACATCATGCATCATTTTATAAGGGATCATGTATCCAAAGGAGAAATTGAACTCATTTATATTTTTATAGAAAATTAACTTGCAGACATTTTTACAAAACTACTAGCCTTTGATATTTTCAGTACATTAAGAATAAGGCTTGGTGTGATCGATTTGAATGCTTAAATAAAATGATTATGTAACATTGATGTGTGTTTTTCTAGTTAGTGTTTTGTGTATTTTTGAGTTTGAGATTTTCTGTATTTGAGTTTATGTTTTTTTATATTTTGAATCATTTTTTATTGTGTTTGTGTTTTAGTTTTGAAAAATTTTCACATCTAGATTTTTTAATGTATGCTTGAAAATTAAGTGAAAATCATCCGAGACGAAATTTATTTCATACGGGATGAATTATATAGTGTATTAACTGTCGGATTTGAACAGTATACATACAGTTTTTTTAGTTTTCATTTTACTGTTTGTCTGTACGATCGTACGATCATCTGGACGATCTGTTCAATCGTTAGGTTCGTATCTTCGAGACGGTTGGTTTGACCATAAGATCGCTGAAATCGAAGTTCAAGTGCTTTTGGATTTAATTTTTGAAGCTTTCGGCTTGATTTTGCCTCGAGATTCATGCTCAATCAAGATAATTTTTTGAGAATATATCAGTTGCCCCCCTATTTTCAGACGTCGTAGTTCCAGGAGTCCAAAAATATGCGTCACAAATTTTGAAGAATTTTCTATATAGTTCAAAGTCCTATCTTGCGTGTAGAAGCCTCAAATGGCTTTAAAAGTCCGAAATTGAATCTAGAATGTCGAAAAACGGTCCCGAGGACCTAAAAAACGTCTGATTTGACCTTTCCGGGGGGAAAATCGGACCCGAATATAAGTGGACAGCCGAATCGGCCAAACCAGCCGGCCGGCCGCCGCCGCCTCTAGCAGCGTCACGGAACAGTGCGGTGTGCTTGCCTGCCCATAGCCCACCCCGAGCTTGCCCGCGGCCTGCCTGGGCCCAACCAGCTCAGTGTGCTGCTAGCCCGCCCGTGCTGCGCCTGCGGCGAACCGTGACTTATACCTGCAGCCCGACAGGCCCGCGCCTGGCCCGTGTGGTGCCACACGCCCGCCTGTGGCCAGGAAGCATTTCGGGGCCGGCGGTTGCGGCCACCGACTTAAAAATGCCTTTTTTTGGGATTTTTTTGTTTGCAAATAATCACAAAAAATTTAGAAAAAAAAATTTGTAAAAATTTAGAAAATTTTGGAATTTTGAAAATGTCAGAAACTTCCCCCTTCTCTCATTAAAAACTATAAATAGACCCTCAAGGTCTATAGAAAAATTGCACTTTCTCTTCTTCTCCCTCTGGCTCTCTGACAGTTGAGGCTTTCTGCTATTTTTGAGTAGGTGACTTTCCCTACTCGACTCAGCGCCCCTCCTCTTGTACAGAAGTTGGAGACTTCTCCTCCTCTTTCTTCTTTTTCCCGTATTTTCTTCCTACTCTAGGGGCTTTCTGCTATCTTTCATAGGTGATTTTCCCTACTTCGATTAGTGCCCCCCTTTAGTAAAGGAATAGAAATAGGTGATCATTCCACCAAAAATTCCCTCGCTAAAGAAGATTGTCATGTCACCTGATCCGAAGGTTTGAAGAAGACTCACAAGGTGCCAAAGACCGATGAGGTTATTTCCACCATCACTGACAACTCCTTTATTTCTTTTAAGAAAAAAATCCATTTTCCTAACAATCTGGTAATGAAGGTGCTGACAAGATCTGATCGTGCTCGTTTCCCTCCGCCGGGATATGTGACGGTGTATGAATTCAGTTTGCGAGCGGGGTTGCGGTTTCTGCCATCTCCTGAATTGATTGACATTCTGACAGTCTGTGGAGTGAGTTTATCTCAATTTACCTACAGGGCCATGTCGATCGTAATGGGCCTGATCGTGCTTTTCAAAGACTGTGGAGTGGTGTTATCTTCAGAATGTCTTTCTCGGATGGGGTGTCTCTTTAGTGATACGCAAGGTCATATCTCCTTCAGGTCCAAGTGGTTGGATATTCACACTCGAGACTTGTCAAATGGTTGTATTAGCAATTTCTTTTGTGCAAAATGATTGGAATCTTCAAGAAAAATGGGGAAAGTTGAAGAAGTTAGCCGTCCCCCTACACATTGGAGCAGAATATTTATTGAAAATATTCAAGCTTCCTGATTTAGACGCCCTACATTATGAAGTGCGTTACTTGAGTAGATATATAAATGAAGAATACTTGTTCAAGGTGTGACTATCTACTCAAGCAAGAAGATCATATGCACAAATACTAAAAAGGTCCGTGAAAGTTCTAGAGATAGTTCCTCAAAAGAATCACTCCAAGCGACCAGGGAGTGAAGGAGATTTGTAGGCACCGAAGAAGAAGAAGGCAAATGAAATTTTGACAGTTGCCAGTAAAGGTCCTCGCATCTCTCCGTCTAAGTCATACATTCCAGAAGATGTTTTAAAACATAAGTGCATTGGACTTCGACGGGCTGACGAGATGGTGAGTTCACCTTTTCTTCCTTCCTTATATATATATATATATATATATATATATATTAAAGGATATTTTTTACAGATTTTTGTTGTTTTATTTGGAACAACATACTGATTTCCAGCTTGAGATGAATAAGGTCTTGGATGATTGGAACAACAAGTTTGTGAAGGTTAAATACCTTCAAGGGGAATATAAGAAGAAATATGATGGCAAAGTGAAGGAGATGAAAGTGTTGGAGGATCAACTTGAAGAGTGTTGAGCAGAATTGGCAAACAGGATCACTTCGACCTCCTCTCAGAATGAGCGGATGGATTATCTACAGATAGAGTTGGGGGATGCATAAGAGATGATCAATCAACAGATGAGAGATCAGCAAATCCTTGAAGCAGAGAATAAGAGACTCCAGAGTATGTTGTCAAAGAAAGATTATTATCAAGGACCACATTTAGGAAGCTCGCAATCATATTTATAATGTGGAGGTGAAGGCTTTGGAGGCGGACTACTTAGGGGATGGCTTCATCAAAGGTTTTATGAAGGGCGTTCGTGCAGTGCAACATAAGACGAGAGCGGAGATCAAGGGGTTGACTCCTAGCCAGGCTTCTCATGATCCTTCTTCATATTCTGGTGGTGAAGAATTTGAGAGTGAGCTGCAGCAGGCTTTTTCCTTAGAGGAGGACGAGGATGATATTGAGATCCTATAGGATTGTTCTGATGTTGTCTGAATCACTTTTTCTTTCTTGTGATTATATATGTTTCTAGTGTTACTATTTTCATATGATGTACTTGATATTTCAGTGATATATAAAAAACATATTTCTCTTTTTCACATGCATATGAAATTGACTCAAATATTTTGATAAGCTTTGTTTACTTAAGTGAATGTGAGAGATATCCTCCTTAGATATCCTGACCTATCCTAGGTTGTTAATCAAAGCATTTGCATGATGATTTTAACCTGTATGGAAGAATTTGGATCAGATCCCCCTGGGATTGATCGTCCAGTGATTGAGATATAATGTAGATTGTGTATTTCTCGAATCACAGGAAAAGGGTTTGAGGAGAAGAGATAGTATCATGACAAAGTGAACATCATATTACTGTATTATATAAGACAGTATAAGAATTCTGTAGTATAACTTAGGGATACAGAAAAAATGTTCTTCCACAATCAACACACAAAGGGTGTATGGAAAACTTGAAAGATACAAAGCATAACTACGTAAGACAAACACTACCAACACCAAACAAATAGTAGTATCAACTTCTACTGATATTACTTGCAAAGGTTTCCCACATTCCAAGTTCGGGGGAGCATTTTTCCACTAGCATCCTTCATTTTGAAGGTTCTAGGCTGACCATAGCCGCCACCAAATAAGGACCCTCCTAGAGAGGGGAGAGCTTATTACGCTGAGGGCCTTTTCCAGCAGCTTCAATGCTTCGCAGAACTAAGTTCCCAATGGAGATGGCTGAGGTTTCACTCTTCGATTGTGGTGATGAGCGATCCTTTGATGGTATGCAGCGGTTCTGAGTGAGGCTTCATCTCTTACTTCTAGGAGGAGATCTAAATTTTTCCTGAGCTTATCCTCGTTGTTATTGAAGCCAAAAGTCTGAACTCTGTTACTCAAGACTCCAATATCAATCGGTATGACTGCTTCTATACTGAAACTGAGGTTATATAGGGTTTCTCCTGTAGGAGTTATGGTAGTGGTCCGATAAGCCCATAGGACATTTGGGTGTTCTTCAGCCCATTGCCCCCAGCCTTTCCTTGGCGTGTCTTCAGTCCTTTCAGAATTATTCAATTAGTGACTTCTGTTTGTCCATTTGCTTGAGGATGGGCGACATCTGTGTGGATGAGCTGAATATGAAAATCCTTAAAAAAAGATGTAAAGATCCTCCCAGTGAAATGTGTCCCGTTATCAGTGATGACTCTTGTAGGAATACCAAAGCGACAGATTATATTCTTCCATAAGAACTGCTTGGCATTTGCTTTAGCAATCTTCGCCAAAGGTTCTGCTTCCACCCATTTGGTGAAGTAATCTGCAGGATAGATAATGAATTTTCGTTGTCTATTGGCTATATGGAAGGGTTCTATTATATCGATTCCCCATTGGACAAAAGGCCAGGGACTCTGTAGTGATGCAAGCTCCAGAGCGGATATATGGGTGAGATTGGAATGCAATTGGCAGTTTTCACACTTTTGAGTAAAGTCAAGTGCGTCCTATTTCATTGTAGGCCAATAGAATCCCTGCCTCATGATCTTGTAAGCCAATGCTCTTCCTCTTAGATGTTCTCCACACACTCTTAAATGAACTTCTCGGAGTGCATAATCAGCTTTTGAATGTGGAAGACATTTGAGATATGGTCCGGTGAAGGCCCGCTTATACAACTCATCACCAATAATGGTGAAATTTGCTACTTGTCTCAGATGTCGTGTTGCAGCCATGGGGTCTTAAGGTAGTATCCTATCCTGTAGAAAAGATAAGATGGGATCGATCCAAGATGCCTCTTTTTGTTCATCAATTGATTGTATGACTCATGGACCTTGAATACTCAGAAAGTGGATCTCTTTGATACACTTTCTTTTATAAACTTCTCCCATTATATATGTAGCTAGTTTGGAAAGAGCATCTGCTCTCGCATTGTGCTCTCGGAGAATAAGTATGATCTGATGCTCTTTTATACGGGCCAAACGTAACTTCATAATGCTGCAATATTGGGCCAGTTGTGGATTGTGTATATTAAACTCCCCTTACACCCGAGTGGTGACTAATTGTGAATCAGTGTGGATTACTAAGTTTTACACCTCACAGTCAATTGCTAGTCTCAATCCAACAATAAGGGCCTCGTATTCTACTATGTTGTTTGTTGCTAGGAACTTGAGTCGGAGTCCATACTAAAGGGTAACTTTCTTTGGAGAGATTAATAGAATTCCGGCCCCAGCACCAGAACTCTCAGATGCTCCATCGACATACAACGTCAAGCTTGGAGGAGAAGGCGAAGCTTGGTTGAATATCTGATACTGGGATGGTGCATTCAATTACAAAATCTGTAAGTGCTTGAGATTTAATATCGGGCATAGGGAAGTAGTGGATGTCAAATTCTTCTAGCTCTACAGACCACTTAACGAGCCTACCCGAAGCTTCTGGCTTTGCAGGATACTTTTCAGCGACATAATTATATAAACCCGGATTATATGGGCTTAAAAGTAAGGGCGTAGTTTTCTGGTGGAATAAACTAACGCCAATGATATCTTATCTGCTAAAGGATAACATCTCTTTGTTTCAAATAAAATCTTATTGACATAATAGATGGGACGTTATACAGCATTTTTCTTCTCGTACCAAGGTCGAACTAATAGCTTGGGCAGAAACAACCATATACAAATATAACTTTTCTCCTGGTGTCGGCTTAGAAAGTAGTGGCAGGGATGCCAAATACTTTCGTAGCTATTCAAAGGCTTCTTGGCATTCATCAGTCCATTAGAATCCAGAGCTACGAGCACATTTAAGTACTTTGAAGAACAGCAAATATTTGTCTCCTGAGCGTGCCAGAAAATGAGATAGTGTTGTAATTCTCCCATTTAGCCTTTGGACTTCCTTAATATTCTTCAGTGGCATCATATCCCTTAGTGCCTTAATCTTTTCAGGATTAGCCTCAATCCCCCTATGGGTTATCATAAACCCCAAAAACTTTTCAGAAGCAACTCCAAAGATGCAATTAGCTGGGTTGAGTCGCATATTATAATGCCTTAATAAGTGGAAACACTATTTCAGTTTAAAGATATGTTGAGATTTTTCAAGACTTTTTACCAACATATCATCCACGTACACCTCCATAGTACGTCTAATAAGATTTTTGAAAACCTTATTCATGAGGCGTTGATAAGTTGCTCCAGCATTTTTGAGCCCGAAGGGCATCACCCGATAGCAGTATAACCCTTTGTCCTTTTGAAAGGTTGTCGCTTCTTCATCAGCAGGATTCATCTTTATTTGATTATAGCCAAAATAAGCATCCATAAAGCTCAATATATGATGTCCTGAAGTGGTATCAACTAACTGGTCAATACGAGAAAGCGGAAACCTATCTTTTGGATAGGCTTTGTTGATATCTGTATAATCTATACACATTCTTCAAGCTCCACTCCCCTTCTGAACCATAACAATATTTGCTAACCAAGTAGGATGGTGCACCTCTCGTATAAACCCGGCATCTAGAAGTTTATCCACTTCCTGCTCGATCGCTTGTTGATGATCTGGAGCAAAGTTTTGTTTCTTCTGGATAACCGGTTTGCACATCAGATTGATTTTGAGGGAGTGTACTATCACTTCGGGGTCGATTAAATAATTAATGTCATCAATTGCCTTTTGGAATTGTAAAGGATCTAGAAAAAAGCAAGCTTCTCTATAGTTAAGAGAATTTGTTAAAGAGAATGATGCATTTTTTTGTTGGGTTGTTGAAAATTAAGTTAACCTGTATTGATAGAATGGAAGTTAATTTGCTTATTGGTGTTGATTCAGATTTTTTTTCATTTTCCTTTTGATGGGTTGTTGGGTGGTATTATTGTGCTATGGAAATCAAATATTCTTCTTTTTCAATATTGGAAGCTTCTTCTCAATACATCACTAGTGAATTAAATGTTCTTAACAAAGGTGTGTATGATTTCTTTTGTTTATGGGAATAAGGATGTGTGCAAAAGAAGAGAGTTATGGAATAATAATGAGTTTTACTCTTCCAAAAATAATTCTTCTATGATAGGTGGGGATTTCAATTATATATTATCCAAGGATGATAAAAGGGGAGGGATAAATTCTTATTTTCCCAATGACATAAGGAGATGAAGGCTTTTATGGCTAATAATGATTACCATGAAATTGGTTTTATTGGACATAAATTCATATGGTGTAACAATAAGGAAGGAGGTGCTTGTATTTTGGAATAGTTGGATAGATGTTTTTCTGAACTCTGCAGCATTGAATTTGTCCAGCATCTTGCAAGGGTAGCTTCAGCTCATTATCCTATTATTTTGAACCTTTTGAAATATAATCTTCCTTATAATATAATAGGGTTATTAGATATGAAGATGAGTGGGCCTCATATCGTGCTGCGTCGGCTATTGTGGCCAAGTCTTGGAAGAAAAGGGTTGTTGGTGGTTATGTTGAAATTCTTAATATAAAGTTCAAAATATCTTTGATAATTTTGTATTATTAGAGTAAATTCAAGCTTAAAGACTTCATTAAGTTGAAGGATTGTCTAAAAAAGGAGATTTTGGAGTTGCATATGGAGGATTCCTATACAGGAGGGCTTTCTGGTGATAAGATCTTATTACTAAGATCTAAAGTGAATGAAATGAATATTACCCTTACTCGTTTAAACAATTGGTGGAGACAACGAGCTAAGGTCAAATGGATGGCTAAGGGGGGATACCAATTCTAATTTTTTTCACTCTTTTACGAATTCTAGAAGGAATGGAAATTGGATTTATCAAATTAAAGATGCTAATGGATTGATGGTGGAAGATCAAAACAGTATTGAAGGATTTTTTTTTTAAATTTCTTCAAGGATAAATAGAAAGAAAGGAATTGCTTTCTTGATGGGTGGCCTTCTCCATTGCATTTAATGGATGCTGCTGACAGGGTATTATTGGAAGCGAAAGTAATAAAAGAAGTTTAAAGGGGTGAAGCAACTTGGGTGTAACAAATCTTCAAGTAATGATGTGATAACTTATTCATTCATCAAGGCATATTATGGTATTATAAAGGAGGATGTATGGAATGCTATTAACAACTTTTTTTCTTCTGGGGAGGTGAATGCTGATTGGAAAGATACTTTAATTGTTCTCATTCCTGAAGTTACTAATCCTTTGGTTCCGTCCAATTTCAGGCTCATAAATCTTTTGAATAGATTATGGCAAAATTCCTTTTGAATAGATTTAAATTCATTCTTCCAAAACTGATTTTAGAGGAATAAGTTGCATAGGTCGTTCATTATCATAGCATGTTTTAATAGCACAAGAAGTGTTTCATAAATTTAGATTTTCTAAATCTAAGAAAGGTTTAGTTTCTTTCAAAATTGGTATGGAACAGGCATGACAGTATGGGGTGGTCAACATTAAAGTAAGTTTTGGATTATTTTGGCTTTCCTTCCAAATTTTCAAGGCTTATTATGGAATTCTCTTAAGATCCCAGATTCTCTATTTTGGTGAATGGAAATCCTTCCAATTGGATAAATGCAAGAAGTGGATTCTGACAAGGTTGTCCATTGTCCCCATTCTTATTTGTTTTATTCTCCCAATTGTTATCAAATGCTTTTTTTTTCAAAAAGGTGATTGTATTGATATTAAAATTTGTCCATATGTTCCGAGAATATCTCATTTATTATATGCAAATGATATTCTAATTTTCTCTTAAGCAAATATTAATGTGGTGAAGGAAATAGAGAGAATTGTAATGAATTTTTGTAAGTGGTATGGTCAAAAAATTAATTCTCAAAAGTCCTCTATTAATTTTGGCAAGTCAGTTAAAAGGAGGAAGAAGAAAGGATTTCTCGTATTATGGGTTTTAAACCTATTGAAAAAATGAGTTATTTAAGTGTGAAGATTGCTTTGAGAAGGCTTATGGTATTTGATTTTAAGAACATATTAGACAAAGTTTTTGGAAAATTAAATTCTTGGGGAAATAAATTCATTTCTCTACCTAGAAGATTTATTCTCTTTAAATATGTAATTATTTCCTTTCCATTTTTTTTACTCATTCTCAAGTTCCAAAGGGAGTTTTGAATGATTTAGATCAACAAGATGTGCAAAATTTTCATTTGGCATAAGCAAAATGGTAAGAATGGTCTTCATTATGTATATTGGGATGTTCTTTGTAAGTCAAAAAATGTTGGAGTTCATGGACTTCATTCATGTGTAAGCAAAGTGGGGCCTTTAAGAGCTAAGTTGGCATGGAAGTTTTTAAATAATTTTGGTTCGCTTCTTAAAAGATTTTTGGGTGCAAAATATGAATCTTGTAGTTGGGATTATGAGGTTAAGAGTGGTTGTTCTTCTTCATGGAAAATTATATCTTATGGTGCTAAAGTATTGGCTCCTATTATATGATGGAAGATTTCAGTTGGGAATTCTATTAATCTTTTTAAAGATGTTTGGGTGCTGGATATGAGCTTTAATAAATGGCCTACATTTATCTTTTTTATGATAATAGTGAGGTTATAGTAGTAAAATTCATCCTTAACGGATAATGCATGGAATGAGGATCAACTTACACATTTTTTGGAGAAGAGAGATTTATATGATTCATCAAACTTGGATTTATCCAGAATTGGTAATGATCAGTTGGAACTTATATACCAATTTTCTAGAAAATCAATTTCTTCATTGGAAATTGAGGTGTCAGTTCATGAGCAAATAGATCCTTTGTATTGGAAATGGCTTAAGAGAATAAAGCTTAATCCACATGTTGAAGTCTTCTGGTGGCATACATTCAATAATGTTATTCCTACATTTCAATTTCTAATGCAGAGGGTTACGTGATTCTAATTCTACTCAGAGACGTTGCAATACATTAGAGGACTCCGAACATGTGGCAGTGAAATGTTTAATGATTATTCAGGTGATTCAATATTTTAATAAATGGGGTTTTCATATTCCAACTTTTTATCATCTAATGAATGTTGTATGGGTTTGGAAATTCTTGCTTCCAAAAATGCTTTCTTAGCTTACTTGTATTGGCCAGTGATTTATTTATCTTGGAAAGCTAGAAATAAAGTTATACATGGTGGTCCTGAAGATAGTATTCTTGTCATATCACACTACAGGAAAATTGCCAATTACATGCGGCACTTTCCGATAGTTTAGATGACATTTTCGATGGTTTTAAAAATTATCATCGATTTCCTGACGGTTCGTGCACTGCCAATATTAACGGCGTAGGAAATAAATTGAGGCAGCCACTTTCCAGTGGCTAGAATTGCCGATAAATTTTGGTGTTCAAAATGCCAGCTACTGCCGGGTAATTACCAACAGTGTATCGACCATATAAAATGCTGGTATAGCGGCGTCCAAGCAGCCGGTTAACTGCTAAAATTTATCGATGGTTATATTAAAGCACCGGAAGCTAAATAAACCATCCAAAATAAGGTATCCAATATATGTAAAATGTGTACTCTTATTATTAACTTTATCGACCAAATTCACAATCCCTTCATGTGAGAACCTTTACAATCTAAGGCAGACATCCATAATTCAAGTTTATCATTTCTAATGCAAAGGGTTACGTGATCCTAATTCTTGTCCGAGAGGTTGCAATACATTAGAGGACTCTAATTCTTGTCCGAGAGGTTGCAATACATTAGAGGACTCTGAACATGTGGTAGCGAAATGTTTAAAGATTATTTAGGTGATTCAATATTTCAATAAATGGGGTGGTTTTCATATTCCAAATTTTTTATCATCTCATGAATGTTGTATGGGTTTGGAAATTCTTGCTTCCAAAAATGCTTTCTTAGCTTACTTATATTGGCCAGTGATTTATTTATCTTGGAAAGCTAGAAATAATGTTATACATGGTGGTTCTAAAGATAGTATTCTTGTCATATCACACTACAGGAAAATCGCCAATTACATGTGGTACTTTTCGACAGTTTAGTTGACTTTTTTGATGGTTTTAAAAATTATTAGTGATTTCCTGACGGTTCGTGCACTGCCAGTATTAACTGCATAGGAAACAAATTGAGGCGGCCATTTTTCGGCTGTTAGAATTGCCGATAAATTTTGGTGGTCAATACGCCAGCGACTGCCGGGTAATTACCAGCAGTGTACTGGCTATATAAAATGCTGGTATAGTGGCATCCAAGCAGGCGGTTAATTGTTAAAATTATCGATGGCTATATTAAAGCACCGGAATCTAAATAAACCATCAGAAATAAGGTATCCAATATATGTAAAACGTGTACTCTTATTAATGACTTTATCGCCCAAATTCACAATCCCTTCATGTGAGAACCTTTACATTCTAAGGTAGACATCCATAATTCAAGTTTACCTTCAACTCCCTCTCTAGTCTTACCAACAAGAAGAATATCATCAGAAAAAGCATAAACTAAGATAAATCCTCTTGCAAATGTCTATTAA